TGGGCCGGGCGCCGCACAGATACAAGCGAGAGCCCCAGCCCCAGGCCCAGAGAGTTCCCAACCTGCGCACATGGAAGAAGGCTGGTTCTCCCCATGTTACAAGCCAGAGCCAGAAAGCGATCTGCTCGAGCTCCCAGAGTAAGTCTGTGGCAGTGCCAGGGCTCCCAGCTCGGCCTGGGGCCAGCCCACCCCGCGGGAGCAGGCCGGTTACACCCAGCGCAGACAGCAGTGATCTGGGGGCGCTCTGGCCACCTGCACGGCATGACAAGCTCTCACGGAGCCGGCCGAAAAGCCGGGATCCCTAACAATACAGTGGAAGCTCAGAGGAGAACTGGGTGTTTTCCCGGGTCAGGCAGCAAAGGCAGACTCCAGCTAATGCCACCGAGCAGGTCTCCCAGCCCACCGTAGCTTGGTTCTCCTGCCTTTGCCCTCTCAGCTCGGGCCCTGAGCGACTGCTAAGCGGCTCCTGTTAGAGCCACGTATTTCACAGCCCTGGGAATCTCCTCCCCCCAGCCCCGATTCCTGCTGCAAACCCAAAAACTCTTGGGGGAACGAGGGCGCTCTGGGTTTCTTTAGGGCATGGGGAGCTGAGGGGTCTCAGCCATTTGCACAGTATGGCTCTCAGCACAGAGATCACTATACACACGACTCCCTCGATCGTCACACCTGCTGCATCCTGGAACTTCATGGCGCGAGTGGGGACTGAACCCAGATCTAGCCCTTCTCCAAAAGCCCAGCCCCCTGCCACCTGAGCTAACGGCAAATCACCTCTCGCTTTGGCAGTATTGGGCATATGACACACACATGAGAAGTTCCTATTCCCCCCAGCAGAGCGCAATAGTACTAGCCAGCGCAGTGCAATGCTTTTTCTTCTCTTATCAAAGACGAGGGGAGCAGGAAATTGGCACTGGTGCCAGGGGACGAGTATTTACAGCTGATGCCCCTCCCCCCACTCCCCAAGTCACCACAGAGCCATACGGAAGAGGTGGCCTTTAAAGAGCTAGACTACGAAGGGCCCAGTTCTCTATAGCTCAGCGTCTCCGTCAGGCGCTGCGCCCAGCAGAAAGCGCTGCCAGATCCGAATTTCCACCCACCTTCCACCGTCCAGAACACCCACAGCCTCAATAGCTCGGACACAGTGAAGCAACTGGATCCGCGCCGAACAACGGGCTACAAGCAGGCAAGCCCACGGCCTTGTCTGCACTGAAGATTTGCCCCAATTCCAGCCACTGGTGGCAAACCCCACTTCTGGCCCAGGTCTTGGCTTTCCACCGTGGCTGGCCACTGATGGGTGGCAACTCAGTATGGCCAGCCCCCACGCCTTCAACAATCATCAGATTAAATATATATATATATATTGTTTGGGGTTTTTTTCCACCTTCTGCGTTTGGGGCCAGTGGGGGGGCTGCATTTTCCAGTATTTCTCCCCAACCAAGAGGGCTAGACACTTGCTTTTTTAAACTTTTTCACAATAATGAAAGCCAAGATTCTCAGCTAATCCCAGGACTCCGGGAGCTGGGGCTTGATGCGCACCCGCATGCAGGCACACCCTCACCAGGCAGCAATGCTGGGTGCATCTCCAGGCCGTGGCAAGGCTAACAAGAGGGGCCGACGGTTCGTACTTACACTGTCTCGTCGTCCTTGAATTCCAGCTCCCCGCAGGCGTCTTCGTAGTCGATGCCCGCTCCGCGAGCTGTCCCCTCCACTGTCCGGTAGGGGACGATCACCGTCCCCCGCGCCCCAGAGCTCCGCACCACCTTCACTTCCATGGTGCCCTGGCACTCGCTGACACGCAACAGCTTGTCCTGGAAGGTGAAGATGCCGGCGTGATCGTCGTCCAGGATGGTGACGGTAGCGATCAGCGGGGCCACCAGACGCCCCTTGGGGTGGTCGGCCGAGTCGGACTCGAACATGCCCTCGGCGTCCCCCACTCGCAGGTTGAGCAGGCGGACGAAGAAGTGCTCGTCTTCCTCGAAGATATCGTCGTCGATGATGCCAATCTTCAGCTCCTTCTGCGTCTCGCCCGGCTTGAAGATCAGCGTCCCCTCGCTATATTCGTAGTCGGAGCCCGCCTTGGCCGAGCCGTCCTCCGTCTTGTAGTCCACGTAGAAGGTGTGGTTGCCCTCCCCACCCTGCTGGCAGGCCACGGTCAGCGTGACCGAGCCGCAGTTCTCCAGGCAGTGGTACAGGCAGGGCTCGAAGAAGATCTTGCTGTAGTTCTCCTCCTCCGCCTCCGACGGCGCCTCCAGAAGGTTGGACGACTTCTTGGAGAACTCCGAGACGTGTTTCTTCAGGATGTTCCCAGCCCCGGTCATCATGCGGGTGGCTTGGATGCGGTAGAAAGCTCGGCTCTTCTGCTGGTGCAGCAGGGCGTAGTAGTTGGCCATCTCCACCAGCTGCTCCAGTTCTTTGTCCGGGTGCTTCTGCTTGAGGTCCTTGAGAATCTGGATCACCTCCTTGCGGCTCTCGTCCAGTTCCTTCTCCTCTTGGGTGGAGGAGGCCAGGGCCGGGGACGCGGAAGCCGCCCCGTCCATGAAGACGTTCTCCCGGTGGTCATTGGCCAGGAAGCTGCCATCCATCTCGATGTCCTTGGGGAACTCCCCTTCGGTGCCGATGATGATGCCGCTCCGCGGGTCGGCGCGGTACCTCTTGTAGACGTACTTGTAGAAGAAGAGCCGCTTGTCGGCGATCCAGGCGAAGACCACGCAGACCGGGAAGAAGACGAGCGTCAGCAGAGCTTCCCAGACCTGCACCACGCCCGGGGAGATGACTGCCAGGATCAGATAGAGCCAGATGTAGGCGAAGATGCTCCAGGAGGCCGTGACGAAGAAGACCCGCAGGTGCTTGATCTTGCGGCTCTCCCCGGCGGGGATGACGTAAACGCAGATGGCGATCACCACGAACATGTTGAAGGCGGCACTGCCCACAATGGTGCCGGGCCCCAGCTCCCCAGCTTGGAAGTTGTGCCCACACACCTCGATGACAGAGAGCAGGATCTCGGGTGCGGAGGAGCCCAGCGCCATCAGGGTCAGGTTGGAGACCGTCTCGTTCCAGATGCGCACTGTGCCGACGCTGGTCTCGCCGTTGGCCTTGGTGACGGTGATTTCCTTCTCCTTGGAGGTGATGACCTCGATGGAGGCCATGAAGCGGTCGGCGATGATGGAGACCCCCAGGAACATGTACATCATGGCCACGAAGTAGACAATGGCCCGAGCAGCTTTGTCGCCGAAGGAGGGGTTGTCCGGCTGCCAGACGGGCAGCAGCACCCCCGGATGGCACGTGTTGGACCCTTGGCAGCTCACGTTGCTTTCCGGCACCGTCTCCAAGGCTCCCGCCTGGGAGAAGTTCTCAGCCAGGAGGACGGACGCCAACAGAGCCTTGGTGAGGAATCGGGGCAGGGGCTGCCATGCCGGCGCCATGATCTCGGGCGGTTCGGTCCGGCTGCCAGACCCGGCGGGATCTAGAGGAGAGAACGAGAGAGACTTGTGATGGCGCTCCAAGCTCATGCCTCGCCAGGGCTCGGAGCGTCCCGAGGCACTTTGCCCTCCTGGCTCCCAACCCCCCTGCTCTAACCACTAGACCCCACTCCCCTCCCAGAGCTGGGATAGATTGCGCCAGGCTCCTACACTAACCAACCGGCTCCCGCCCCCTCACCCTTCAGCCCCGCGCTCTGCTCACTGCGTCTCTCAGACCAGCTGCGAGTCGCTGGTACGCGACAGATGGATCCCCCCCAAACACAACCTACGAGCTCGGCTCCGCGTCGCTATTTTTATTCCTTCTTCCTGTTCCAAACACTTCCCCAGAGCTCGCTGCCCGGGGCTCGGGCGGGCGCAGGAAACCCGAGCGATTGGCTCGGGTTCTAGGGGGAGTGGATTTCAGGGCACCGCAGGTGCCACCCTGGCAGGTCGGACTCAACAGGGCCAACAACCGCTTCTCCTGGCCCTTTACAGGGGCGAGATCCCCTGGAATCGGCCCCCGGCTATCCCAGCCCTGGGCTCCTCCTTCCCCCAGTGCCCCTCAGTCCAGCCCCGCAGCCCCCTGCTACGCCAGCTCTGCCACGCTCTCCCCGATGGGGCCCTTCAGTGCTTCCGCCGCCGATCCCTCGGCATTCCCAGAGGACAGGCCCAGCCACCCCGGCACCGCCGAGACACCAGCAGACGAAGCCGCTTCTCTCGCCCTGCAGCCCGGCCACTTTCCGCCCCTCCGCGGCCCCCCAGCGGGCGCCTGGGCTGAACAAGGAGCTGCAGCAGAAGGTCTAACCCGGCTGAGAGGGGACAGGACCTGTTCAAGGTTGCCAAGAGGGTCCGTGGCAGAGGAACCGAACCCAGGCGTCCAGCGCCAGAGCCGGCCCTTCCCTTCCCTTGCAGGTGCCCCTGGAGAGGCTGGGAACCAGCTGGCGTGGAACAGAGATCGGCTGGCAGCTGTCCACTGGCCGGCCCGGGCAGGGGCTGCCTCCTTGCCAAAGCGCTTTGCGTGGGATTCGCTCTTCGATAACCGGCACAGCTCATCTGCCCCCCCGGGCGTCCACAGGCCAAATCCTCAACCGCTCCACGGGAAATAGACCCAGCTCGCTGCTGGCGCATTCCCTCCCCTCTCCCCATGGTCACAACCCTGCTGGGTCCCTGCCCTGCCCGCCGGCCAGAGCTCCGTGCAGCGCGGACTCTTCCCGGTGGCATTTCTGCTCCGGCCCCAGTCACGCAGTTGCCCGCTACCCGGAGCCACCTTCAAAGCAGTTTTCCGTTCATTAGCCCCGGCGGGAGGGATGTGGCCCTGGCCCTGGCCAGCACAGCAGGATCGTGGCCTCTCCGGAAATGAGCCACTGTGAAACAAGCATGGCTCGGCAGCTGCGTTCTCCCGGGCCCAACCCTTTCATTCAACAGGGCAGAGCATCAGACGGAGATTGTGACCGTCCCCACCATCTACAGGCCCGGCAGCCCCAAGGCACCGCGTGCGTAATGCCCGAGCTAAAGGAGTACGCCTCTTAACCAGCGGCAGCAGTAGGCTGGTATCCTCTCCATGGCCCAGCCACTAGAGGAGGAGAAGACACACGCACACACCGTTTTGTATACACACCCAGCATACACATGCACACGGCTTTGTACACAAACACACACACAGTGTGCACATACACAGATGCACACACATCCCCCACTATGCTATACACACATGCACAGTTTTGTGTACCTGCACACTGTGACCAAGTGGGGGGTTTTCTTGTTTTCTGTGGAGTTTCAATGGTTTGCATGCAGAGGGGGTGGGACTCAGTTTCCCTGGGTGTTACTGGTTTAACGAGGTTAGGGGAGAGGGAGTGTGTTTTGCAGAGGACCGGAGAGAGGACTTGGGGACCCAGCCGGTGGCCGGGAGGATGGATACCCCAGCGATCAGTGACCTGGCGACCTGGTGACCCGGAGGCCCAGCTGAGGAGACGCAGCCGGTTCTGGCCAGTGGGAGGACAATGGGCTGCAGAGTGAGGACCCAGTGACCTAACCAGCCGGTTCCAGCCAGAGGGAGAAGCAGGAGAGGAGGCCCCGGTTTACAACCTTGTTTACCTGGAGAGAAGACAATGGACAGAGGCGGGGCCTGGGGCCGGGGAGCTGAGATGCCCAGCTGGGAGCAGGGGGGCTCTGGGCTGGAGAGGGGGAGCAGGCAGAGCCCACCTGGATGCAGGGAGACTGGGATGTGCTGGGCTGAGGGAGGTCAGGCCTGAGGTCCTGAGAGTTTCCTGTTTCATGCTGGCTGAGAGTCACTCCGGTCTAGAGAACAGGGTTGCATCAACCCCTTCGGGGGTGAAGGCCCGAGGGGTCCAGAGCGAGTGGACTCCCTGAGGGGGCCCACGGCAGAGACAGACGTGCTAAGGCTCAGAGAGGTGCGGCTCCAGGAGGTGGAGGGGCCTGACCCCGAGAGAGAGTGGACCCCCGAGAAGGGCTGTCTCACTAAAAGGGGCACCCCCCACGGACCGCACGGGGCCAAGAGTGGGCACGATCTGTGAGTCCGTGACACACACACACACACACACACACACACACACAGGGCGTGCACATCCACACGCGCCCACGGCTTCGCACACATGGCTCGCAGCCCAGGCATTCCTTTGGCCGCCGCTCAGGAACAGTGGGACTAGCCAGGCGAAGGGCGGATTAGCTCTGGACACAAAGGCGCGCCGGCCTTCCCTTGATTGGGTCATCCCAGAGAACAGCGGGGGGGACGGAGGGGGAGACTCAGATAAGCCGCTTACCCCCAGGGCGTGACACTAACGAGGTTTAGCGAAATGATGTAAAATCAGGCCGGCGGGAGACACTGTTTTTTAAATGACTTTCTTAATAAGAGATCATCTGTGTCTCCGGCTGCTGCCAGCAACATGCATACATCCGGGGTGGGGAGGGGGAGGTAGAAGGACAGGAGACCCCCCAAGCTACGGGGGTCCCCCAGTCTTCCCCCTCTCCCGCACCTACAGTGGGATGCACTCGGAGCGGGAGGCAGGAGAATCAGGGATCCCAGGGACTGGCGACCGGGGCCCGTCAGCCCCGTGAGAGCCCCACGACTTTGCGGCGGTGAGCAGAGCTTGCCATCTCCCCCGCTTGCCCGAGATCCACCGAAAGGGCCCCGGCGCGTGGCTCTTTGCAGCGACCGGGCGCCCCAAATCCCGGCATTGTTGGGGTCTCCTGCCCGCCCAACCCGAGTGGCTGAGCCGGGGAGGGCAGCGCGTCCCAGCGATCACAACGAGCTGCCAGCGACGCGTCCGTGGCTTCGGATTCCCGGCCCCTCGGAGGAGCTGACGGAGCCGATTCTTTCAGCCGGAAGGACCTCATTAAATCCACAGGCCTCATTAGCACAGGCGAGAGGGGAAATCCTGGGTGACGCTAACGAGGCCATGCCAGCCACATGCCAGCCAAGGAGGGTGACCAGATGTCCCGATTTTATAGGGACAGTCCTGATATCCAGGGTTTTGTCTTCTATAGACATCAATTACCCCCCACCCCTGTCCCGATTTGTCACACTTGCTATCAGGTCACCTTACAGCCGAGCCCAGGGGCCACACCACGGTCACTGCGCGGCTGGTACGGAGACGGGGGCACCGATCCGGATGGGGGTTTGTTGTAAATAAGTAGAGCACAGCACAAGGCTGGCGGTTAGAGGGGGCTCTAACCATGGGGTCTGTCCAGGAGGAGGGCAAGGCTGGGAGTCAGGATTCCTGGGTTCTTGTCCCAGCTCCGGGAGGGTAGTGAGGTCTAGTGGTTAGAGCGGGGGGGGGGGGGCGGGGAGTCAGGATTCCTGGGTTCTCTCCCTGGCTCTGGGAGGGGAGTGAGGTCTAGTGATTAGAGGGGGGCGTAATCACGACTCCTGGGTTCTATTCCCAGGTCTACCCCTAAACCACTGTGTGCACCAATCATACCTCGGCGTCCCCGCCCGTCTCACCCCGACCCCTTTCCAGCACTGCTGGAAACATCAGGATCATCTGGTCACCTGGGCAACCTGCATCCTTCCCCATTGTGCTGAGGCAAACTGAGGCAGAGAAAGATGAAGAGACGCTCCCCACGTTCACCCAGGGCGGAGCCGGGCGTTCTGCTCAACCCGTCTCCTGGCGCAGGAGCAGGGGCGCACTGGATGGCACTGAAAGGCGGCACATTTCAATCCCCCCAAAGGAAATATGTACCACACCCCTGGCCTGTGGGACTCCCTGCCACCAGATCTCAGGGAGGCCAAGAGCGTAGCAGGATGCAGAACGAAGGAGCAGCCACTTCTCCGGACAATGAGAATAGCCACAATTCTAAGAGGAGTTGCTCCGGTGTCATTGCGTCGCGGTCTCTTTTCTCACTCGGTGTCGCTCACGTGACCCTGCCAGACACGCTAGGGCGGGGGGGAGCCGTCCTTCCCCATGGCGTGGTGGCCACTGGACACCCTGGGTGCCGGCTGAGCGACATAGGATGGCTTTGCGCAGGCAGGAGAGACGGGCTCACGGTTAAAGCATCGGCAGGGGACTCGGAAGATCTGAGTCCAATTCTACGTGGGGGGGTCATTTTGGGCCCCACCTCCAAAGGCGTAGCACTGACAGTGGGGGTGGGGGGGCTTCCCCAAAAGGGACCAAAATAAAGGTCAGATTTTCGTGCAAAGCCCCTTAAAAATCCAGCCCATTATCCCACTGGGTCTCAGCTGTACACTGGGGAAAATGACCCTTCTTTTATGACGATGATTATTAATGTATTTGTACTGGGTATAGGGCCTCATCGCGCTAGGTGCTGTATAAACACAGAACTAAAAGACCGTCCCATTGTCTGTCTTCTCTAGTTAGACTGGGAGCTCTTGAGGGTAAGGACTGGCTCTCACTGTCTGTGCAGCGCCCGGCACGACGGGGCCTTGATCTCGTCCGGGGTCTGGGCGGCGCCCGGCA